AGAATTGCGTTTAATCGTTTAAATGTTGCTTAATGTGTTTATAATAATTTTTGAGTACGTTCGCTCTCTTGATAGTCATCAATTACATTTTGTGCAATAACATCCAGAGATGGCGTCAAAATGCAGCTCTTTTTTATAGGCAATATGCTTAAATAATCCAGCAGATATTTTCGTTTGATTTCGAATCCCTTTTCATCCGAGAAATCAAGCTAAAAATGCAGGAAATTAGGTGAGAAGTCAGAGCAACTTTGAGAGTTGGACTAAATTTAAAAAAGCTTAAACATATATATTTTCTCGTCTCATATCGCCATCAAAATTGTATGCCAATAACGTTAAAACCTTCATCAAATCTATGGCTGTGGCTGCTCATCGCCAAAAAACGGTTGGCCGTATGATTATTATTTTCAATAAGCAAAATTTTGAAATTGATGTTTGAATTTTCACTAAGGATAGACAAATTTTACATGAACAAAATTCAAGTTATCAAGACTTTCAAGTTTTAATGGAAATGACCACGAAGATACATGACAGGTCAACAGATCTATTATTAGCTCGACGAGATAAGATGGAAGTAACTGCTTTAAAGAAATTCGAGAAAGGAAATAAAAGGACGTGCAAATCTTCAAACTCGACATAAGCCGTTGCGAACGGGAGTCAATAATTTGGACTTTCTTTGTAGAAACTTATTCCGGTAATAGTTTCTACGCTTTACCTTACCTGTTGGCGGAAACCCCATAGCTCAAAAGACCGATGTTAAGAAGCGTACGCCGCGGTGCGCACTTACTTAAGTCGTGCCTGTTGGTCTACCGAGCTTGCTTTTTTGAGCAAAGGCAGAAGTTAGCATCTTGATTGCTATTTGTAATGCAACTAACAAAACTCACAAAAATTGTTTATGTTCACTATAGCAATGCAATAAATAAGCACTTAGACTAATGCTATGCTCTCTTCGGAAATTATAATACGCATCGTTAGTTGTAGATACTAGCGAAAACATTCGTACTACGTTTCGCCTGCCAACGATCAATACGTATCAAAAGTTCAGAAGCCGACGTCGACCCGTCTACAATTGATACTATGAAGTTGGGCATTTTTAGCGATAGCAACTTAGTGCTATACTCATCGAGAAGAATTCATTCCAGCAAAGGGCAGAAGGAATCATGGAGACATACGCTACTTGTAATTCAAAGGGATGACAGTAGATTCCCAAGAGCAATGTTGCAGACCCAAGACGGCCAAAGCCCACCTTCCATCTTAGTCTCTCTGGATTTAAAACGTCGCCTGGAAGAGCAGCGTAGTTTGGAAATTTGTTAGAAATAGATGCCAGCACCTAAACTATGCGAATTAACTGAAAACTTATATATATGCAAATAAGTAAGAGACCTCTGCTCTGTCAGAATACGTCGTTGGGTACACTTCTAGCACCATGTGTTTTCCATATCTAAACACAAGGTTCGATTAGTTCATAGATTTCAACGAAAGATAATGTCATGATTTTATGATTATAAGCGTTGTAACCCAAAAATTTTTTGGTTACAGCACTAAAGCTGGACATGGATTATCGCAAATTACGAGTTTCTTAGTAGCACACCATTCGATGAACAACGCCTCTACATCTTCTGTTTTGATTGTTTATGCTTTTTAATGGATGAACATTTAAGCGTTCTTTACTATGCAATTTTTGTATTACATAGGATAGATGATAGTAATAACAACTTTATTCTTTTGCTAGTGTTGCTGCGTTGCTGCTTACTTTTCTTTCAGTTCTGAAATTCTGGAAATTTTAAGAATTCTGCCACCAGACATAATCCCAACTCGATCAGCAATCATTTCGCATTCTTCTGCTAAACAAGTTGTAAACAAAACGGCTTGACCAGATCGCTGGGCTTCGCGTATCATGTTCCATGTAAAAAGACTCGTCTAAATGATACGAACATGAAAGATCTTTAAAAAAATAACGCTTACCGTCAACTCCATGCCCATAGTAGGCATTTCGAACACAAGTACTTCTGAGCTTGATAGTGCAGCAGTAGCGATACATGCTTTTCTTTGTTCCACATTACTAAAATTGTTTTGCAAAGGGCAAATTTAGAAATGCTTTCAAATCTCTCTTCTGAATTTCCCGTTGATTAATGCCACATGTTCTTCTACATTGTTATTAGTCAACATAAAAAATAAGCACAACAATTATTTGTAATTACGCGTTTTATGCGTCTGCATGCATTTCCGTAGAATCAATTTCACTTATGAGTTGCGTGAAGCAGTCACCATTAAGCCGCGGATGGAAAAGAAGGAGAGAGAGGCGTGGAGAAGGGAAGGTGGAATGATTGCTCTTTCAAGATTAGGTCTAAATTTTGAGGTCAATATGTTATTGTTACATTATGCTAGATTTGGGAAAAAAAGAAAAAGCTAAGCCTTTCTCACAGGTCTGACGTTCCGCTCACTCTTCTAGATGCTGACATCTTACTGTTAATCTAATAAATAGAGACGCTGAAGAGGGCAGGAGAACGGATCGGGAATAAGGGCTGTTCGCTAACAAAAACTGCTACTATAGTGCTAAAA